GCCTTCCTCTACGAGCAATGTTAGCTGATAAAGGGGCCAGGCTGAAAAAGAGCTAGCGGCGGTCAAACGAAAACATGGCACCAGTCAATGAAATCCACAACAGTTAGTCTAAGCCATGTAGGAAGACGTAGACTTCCTGGTTGGGGTCCTCGGGATGGTAAAAGCCAATGGTTGGAAACAATTGGTGATATGACTCAAAATCGTTCTCAGTGGCGCAGATGCATCCACTCCTTGTGACTTATGATTTCCAATGAAACTGTTTTGTTCTCCGTTATCACTATTCCTTTGTCTCACACCTTTGTTTACTGTCTCTATTATGCATTTCTTCTACTTTCTTGTCTTGCTTTGTGTGCTACATGGAGTGTGGCGACTTGAACTGCTGCACATAGGTGCAAAGTTCTATGTTGAAAACAGACAGACAGACATAAAAAAAGTTGAACAAGCGCAACATAGTTACGTAATAAGATGAATGATTTAATGAGTGAGTTGTGATTAGAATGTACATAGAAACAAAGGAAAATACGGAATTATGTAAGAGTTCTAAAAATTACAAATGTTATAAGGAGTTAGAGAAGAAAAAAACATGCACACAAACATCAAGTCAGTAGAAGTCAACACTGATGTTACCATGATCATAGAAGTAGTTGGATGATTTTATTTTGTAATCATAACTCTGGTTTTTGCAACTAAAATGGCTAAGGCTTCACCAGTGCAAAGCAGACGAAAACGTATTGCTTTTAGTAGCTTGTTCTTCACTCTGTAGATCACTTTGAAGGAGGCGTTTATTGAGATGGAATGACTAGTGTTGACGAGATGTTCGATTATCGCACTCCTTATAAAGCCACTATTACCTTTTTGTAGCCATGCGGGATAGTTTTATTTAGTTTTTTTTGACCGCTTAACAAACCTGTTCATGAATAGACTTTTGTCACCAGTACTGACTGCAAAACTTTACTATTTACCATTCAGCGATTGTTGCTCACTTTCCTGATATATTTATTTACAAATTTATTGATCAGTTCCTGCTTCACTAATCTGAGTTTTGCTGCTGCACAGTCCATTCGTTAATTGTTAGTCTTCTTTCTTACTACCTGTAAAATTTCTCTCTTATGTTGTTTTTTTTGTTGTTAATCTATATGTATATCTTTCGGATTACCAAGCTGTGTTGCTCCTTTTTGTGTAAAATGTGTTCTCCTTTCCGGATAAAGCATACTATTATTACTATCATTATTTTTTTTAACCTAGTTGTTAGATGATGCTATAGTACATGTGACTGACTACATCATTCAAATATTTTATGCCTATTTTGTTAAATATGGTATGACTTTCATCCTCGTTAATAAAAATGTTATACTTTGTTGTTAATGAATGATTAGCCGGAAAGTTATTGCTGCATTGATCCCACTCATTTTACCTGCATGTGTTTAATAATATTAATATATATTATGTTATTATTCCCTTGGGTTCCCAGTGGAACATACTGCTTCAACAATACATCTCCACTTTGTTCTATGTTCTGCTCTCATCTTCAGCTGGACCCACAATTGCCCATAATCTCTCATCTCCTCCATATCACCCTCGCACCAACGACCCACTCGTTGCTTCCCGTCAGAATTCCACCCGACTGATGGCCTGCATTGCGCGCGATGTCATTCGATGGCCTCCTCAATGTGTGCCCAATCCATCTCCATTTTCTCCTTCATATTTGTTGAGCAATCGGCTGTGGTTCGGTTGGTTTGTTCATCGCCACCAGAGTTTCTTGTTGCTAATTCTTTCTGGCTGGCTGGCCAGTCGGCATCTGATCTTCAGTATTCAGCCAGCCAGCGGAGGTGGCAGCTGTTGATTAAAGTCTGTAACAGGCTGTTGGAAATGCTTTTCGAGACTGACACGCAGTGCAAGTTTGTGACCCGTATAGAAGCATTGACTGACTGACTTCTCATTTGTGTTCAACGGAATCCGAATGTTGTTCTTTATGCTGGCTGAGTGAGTGAAGCAGAAGATTTCCAAACTGGTTCCATACTGATGAAGGTGTATGTTGCCTTCATCCGTTCCGCCTGCGGTTGAAGCCGTAGTGTGAAAAGCCTAGTGAGAAAAGGTTTTTGTTTTTGTGATCAAAAATATGCCTATTGTCCTAGCTGACTGAAGATTTTTTTTATTTCAAGGGATGAACAATATTGGTATCATTTGTTGGTAAATAGGGTACCAAACTTCATTTAAACGTGATAAAGAAGACTAGTTATAGTACTGTATTCATTCATCTATATAATCAGTTTTATTTTTTAAACCCTCCTGTTGGGCATCTCCGTCTAATTACTCAACTTTTTAAAGCTTTTTTTTCATAAAAATACTCTGATAAAGTTTACTCATCAAATGAAATGGAAACTAGAGTGCTTAAATTCATATAAGTTGGGTGGTTATAATGTTTACTGTTAATCTAGTCAGTGGATTCTTTCACTTGATCTAGACATTTAATAGTTCCTAACCTGTTGTTATACTAAGGGAAGTGATAACTGAAGTTGATAAAAAACCTGAGTTACTATACACATTTAATCAGTAGCTTGTGGATCAGTTGCTTGATCTTTCAGAGTCAATTGGTGACTAGGTTCTTAAATCTTTTCAACAATGGTATAATAATTGCATTTCTTTTCAGAAATATGAGACATTTATTTTTGCTATACTTGAGTTTTACATTCATTACGTCTCACTAGTCATCCGTGGATAACTGACTCGAGTCCTGTGGATTGATTGTCAGGCTTCTTTTTAATCATGGAAAATTCCCATTGTAACATATAGAAAATGAAAACAAGTGATTCAGCGAAGAGACTCTTTTCAACGAATTTATCATCAAGCTGTACAATCGTATATATATGGTTTTTGAGAAGTTATATCCAGTGAGAGAATTGAAACATAGGTGTGAATGCATAAAATAACAATAATAATAATAATATGAAATGCAATTAAAACTAAAATGTTTGTGATTATAATCGTAGTTAAATGTCAAGTGGCAAAGCAAATTAATGTCATATATAGAATAATTCATAGGATGGATAGAACTTGAAAAAGGTGTGCAATTATGGGATTAGTAGACGAATCGAATAAAATAAAAATGTTGCGTAATATTGTGTGGAATTTAATAGCATAGAATTTAATGTTGCATAAAAGAATTGATTTAGAATGACAAGTGGAACAAGTGAAATAATACCGAGGACAATTAAAAGTGAGAGTAGTAATGGTAACAATTGACTTAATAAGTAAGAGTATACAAATTGAATAGACAAAAATGAAGAATTGGTAGATCTAAAATATGATTGGGGATTACCATACTTTAGAATAGAGGGATTAAGACCATGAAAGTTGGAGGAGTTGAACGAACTTTTTCTGTCCACAGGGATCTGGCTTTTCTGTTTCGATAGCCAAAGCTTCAGCAATACAGATGAGTCGGGTACGTAGGGAATTGGGTAGATTACTCTTTGCCTTGTAGATGACTTTGAAGGCATAGGCTATAGAGACGGGGTGATCATTGTCGACCAGATGTTCAATGATCGCGCTTGTTATTGCTCCACTTCCACCTTTTTGTAACCATGCAGGATGGTGTTCTTGCACCCTGTTGGACAAAACTTGTGTCGAACGACCGATATACTTGACATTTAACTACGATTATAATCACAAACATTTTAGTTTTAATTGCATTTCATATTATTATTATTATTGTTATTTTATGCATTCACACCTATGTTTCAATTCTCTCACTGGATATAACTTCTCAAAAACCATATATATACGATTGTACAGCTTGATGATAAATTCGTTGAAAAGAGTCTCTTCGCTGAATCATTTGTTTTGATTTTCTTTTTAATCATCAGTCATCATTCCTTAATGCCGAAATCGGTTCACTAGCCACAACTGTAATTTTCAAAAGAATAGACACGGAACAAAGAGTACTCTTTTCGATAAATTCATCATCAGGTTCTACAACTGTAATTGTCTAAAAACTTTTGAGATTGAATTTTGATGATTAATAATTATCACTGTGTAGAGTAAACAGAGGTAACAGGAATTATTAGATGGTTGCAAGCAATCAGCAGGAAGCATTCCAACTAGGTCTCGTGCTAGTTGTCACTTACCAGTCAACAAGGCGTATCTGCAACATTGAAGGAACTCATGTCCCTTCCGAGATTCGAACCCTCGTCACCCACTGCGTCTCCAGTCGGAGACGTTACCACTGGGCTACTCGGGCTCGCGACTGACCTCCTGTAGTATCGTATTAAATACTATTTACTGAACCACTAACTGGTATTATGTGTCTAGTCACATGACACTAGTTACTGTCCACTCAAGAGGTAATAGTAAATTATTGACAGAAACATTACGTTTCTGTATCAAAACTAACAACTCAGTTCCTACTGGTACTTATAAAGTATTGTAATTGCAAGACATTTGTCATATCCTGTTTGGGGACTTATTAGCTTGTAATTAGTGATGAGTTGTTTTGTATGTATATGTGTGTTTGGAGAAAATGAGACTTTTTAGAACCACATATTGTCATGAATTTTCAACACAAACACCCTAAGACTCGGCGAATATTTTAATGTTTGTTTCAAAAGTTACAATTTCTGGCCTATACTTTGATTCGACACTAGGTGTGAACTGACTTCATGCTTTTAGTCATTCATTTTGTGCACACTGAATCCTGTTGTAAGTCAAGTTTTTAATCTAACCATCATGTCTAGGTGGTTAAAGGCACTCAGCAGGAAGCCTTAGACCCAGGTTTCGCGCTTGTTGGCACTCATCAGCAAGGCGTATGTGCAATTATAAGTGAACTCATCCCTTCTGAGATTCAAACCCGCACACTTACCACTGAGCTATTCTAGCTCGATTTACTGATTACCTGCAACCTCTGAACAATTTCTAACCATAAACTATACTAAAATGTAATCAATTAGTTGTGCATTAATTAAATAATTTTTGTTTTTGGTACTTTCTTTTTTTTCTGACTGTAGGGATATCAACGAAAATTATGACTTTGATATTGTCTTTGTAAATGGAATGCTTGGTAGTGTCTTTTATACATGGCGACAACATGATTCAATGTTGACTACAGATGCAACACAGTACACAAAATGTTGGCCTAGAGTAAGAATTTTACATAAAATATCATTTTCATGTTATATTACTTGATGATACTCATGCATAAATCTAAATGATAAATTGTGTTTCATGTGTAAAATAGTTGAATTTCTCCTGCAGTGTAAATTCGTAAATTTTTTTTGTTTTCCTCGCATGGAAATCTAGTTGATTATCGATCAGTCTAGCTTGACATGAATGTAGACACTGATTAAGTCCGTGTACTTGCAAGCTTTCCTTTTAAATTTAACTGGTGTTACTGAATTTAAGGTCAAAGATTTTAATAACTGTAGCTGTAACTGTAACATAGTCGAATTTTCAATTATTGGTTTGTAGGGATTTGATTGATTGGTTACAGGATTATTTAGATAGATTTGGAGGCGATCCGCAAAATACTCACTCTGAACCTAGGTTTTGTACTTGTCAGAACTCGTGAGTAAGGCGTGTGCGCAACCTTGATAGAACTGATGCCTCCTCTGAGATTCGAACTCACAATCACCTATTACTGCGGTCATAGAGGTTACCAATGAGCTATTTGTGTTCACAATTGACGACTTCCTGTAGGACTGTAACTGATACACACAGATAGGTGAATTTTGTTTGATATTCGACAAAGGAAAACGACTGTTTTTCAGCCTTATATATTTGGTTGAGGGTTTCTTTAAATACTATACCCTATATTGGTTGGAGGATTTCATCATGTGCTGACATCAGTTAGAGAACCATTGAAAAACGTGCAGGGAGTACTGGACAGTTGTGTCGTCCAACTAGTTTGGGACTTTTCATAAGTATGCATCCACTGGGGTTCGAACACATGGCCTTCTGGTTACAAGGCGGGCGAGCTCGTAGACCATTAAGCCAGTAGGATCCCATCCAGTGGCTCCTGAGTTGCTGGGTGTGCACTGCTGAAGAGTCCCAAACTAGGAGGAAACAGCTGTCCAGTACCCCCAGGTGGTTTTCCAGTGGTTCTCTAACTGATGTCAGCTCATGATGAAATCCTCCAACCAATCAAACAAAATCCCTACAAAAGCAATACTTGAAAATATACCCTATATGCTTGCAAATATTTTTGCACACAAATAAATTTTGTTTTTCTTTCAGATGAAATTGTGTCAGATAAAATGATACATTTCTTTCGGTCATACAGAGACAAAGAAAGAGAGAGAGTAGTCTTATGTTCTTAATTAATTGATTAATAAGCACATTTTGTCACAAAGGATTTTGTACTTTAAAAGAAAATACAGATTTATGCTGAGAATAAATATATTTCAGCTGTCTAAAAATGAGATTCAATCAGAACTTAAGCACATCGTCGTGAAAACTTCTAAAATGAGGATAAGATTAGACTATATACCAAACCAAGTTCACTTTTAACAGTTTGAAAAAATTACTTGAGAGTCGGTTATATGATATTCATTATTATAAAAATATATTTTGTATTTCCCAATCAATGAAAAACAAAACGATATTGTTGTTTTTTCGCCGACGTTTCGCTATTTAATGCTGCTTCTAATACCTTTAGCAAAGTAGTAATATTAAACCAGAATTTAAAAAATCTCAGCTTGTATATAACAACTAACTTAATCATCGCTCATCGGTATGGGATAATTTTCACGTTGTCAAGTTGGCCAGTTGGTAAAGATAATAAAGCGAAGTGTAGATTGTTGGATTTGATAAATGTGTAAAATTATAAAAGCAGCATGTGCATACATAGTGAAATTGTTTATCACATTCGTGTTGATTTTGTTATTTCATGGAGGAAAGGGTGTTGTAACCAGGTTAAATTCTGCTTAAGTCCATCCTTCCTATTCATCAGACAATTTGGATTCCATTTCATATGAAGGGTGTGCTGGCTTCTGATGATGTGAGATGTTCTTTGTGATTTCTGAAATGCCTTTTCTGGATTATTTCAAGATTGTCAAAATCAGTTTTGTGACCTGATTCTTTAGCGTAGCATGTAGATGACCTATGGCTGATGATTTTCCAAGCTTTTCTATTTCACTAACTGGATTTCTTGGTGGTCAAACAGAGGCGGCTCTAGGGTGTGCGTTTCTTCTGATTTTGATTCCTCCATGGCAATGTTTGTCCGATGTATATCGCATTTCGATTGAGAATCCTTATGGATTTGATATTTTACATGGACGAGGTTGATTTGTAGTGTGTGTGTGTGTGATGTTTTTAAGGAAACTAGGATGTTGTTTTTACCAAGTACTCTTCTGTCATATTAATACCTTGATAAAGCTGTTAGCATTAAATAGCGAAACGCCAGTACAGACGATATCGTTTCGTTTTTCGTTCATTGGGAAATACAAAATCTTTTTTATTAAAGATTGACCTAGTTGGAGACCCTGGGTGTAAGCGCATAGGTGATAGATGGAATTTACCAGTTATCTAAACAAAATGTATGAATTGAAATCCTGAAGGTCGATTTCACCATGGATAATAAAAATCTCTATGGAAATGAAAACAAAGTTGAATGATTCTTACTTAATAACAAGATTTATCAAGCTATTCTTGTGTATTTAGACAAACACGATACAATTATATCAGCTATAAAAACATTTTTCAAAGACAGACTCAACGTGGTCAGCTGAAGTGTTTGAGTTGTTTTCGACTGACTTCTGACTGTTTCTGACTTCTGCACTTCCAAAATTCTGCCTAGAGTATCCAGTAGATGCTTTCTTTTAGTTATTCTTATGTATGTGCCTACGCAACTGCATATAACTTTGTGATCGCCTATGGGCTTATTATGCTAAAGATATTCATTTACTTTGGACTTACGCCTCATGACTATGTTGGGTTGCAGACTAAAACCAACGTGGTCTTTTTCACGCCTATTTGATACCCTATTTCTTCAGCATATAAGCTACATAGTACTCATTGTGTATAAAGTGTCAAATCTGAGTTACTTAACGCTCAGTTAATCGGGCTGTTCAAAGTTGCCTTCATATAATATTGAGGTGTAAATTTTAAAAAAATCCATCATCGGCGAAACTCTTATGTGAAGATGAAATTGAGCTATGATACATTATTAGTACAGTCAACTTTCCTAAGCAGAATAGTATGAAGACAGTTGGAACAGGCATAAGTACAATAGGAAAATGTTTAAAGTGTAAATAAATATGAAGTGTGCATTTACTTTCTCCGTCTATGATTAGTTCACAGAGCATTTTCGTGTTATGCAAGACTGTAATTCTTCGTTACACAAACTGTTAAAAAGAGACTTTTTGCTTTTTCAAATATGTCTATAGAGAGTGAAGAACTTCAATCTTAGAGTATTTAACAATATCAGGATTTCATCATGAACTGACATCGGTTAGAGGACCATTGGAAAACCAGGAAGTAATGAACAGATGTTTCGTTCTAGTTTGAGACTCTTCATCAGTACACACCCAACACCGTGTTTCGGACCCAGGACCTTCTGTTTACGAGGAAAGCTCGTAAACCATTAAGCCACTGGAATTCGTCGATCCAATGGCCAGCGCATGAATCCCAACATTTGCCCATCCATGATATTTAAGTATTGGTTTGCAGGGATTTGATTGGTTTCAGGATTTCATCACATTGAAATCTTGGTGAAGCTTTTTGATTTTTTTAATCTAACAATAGACAGAATGTTGCTGTGGTTATTCTACTTAAGTTTAATATCAATGCCACTCGTTGTTCATCAATGTTAGAAATTCGGAATGAACAGTCAAACTCTTTCCTCAGTTATCTTACATCAAATCATAATAATTCAGTGAAATAAATTTCGCCTTATAACCAGAAGGTCCTGGGTTGAAACCCCAGTGGGTGTGTACTGTATTTTATCACTAATTTATCATCCTGTCTTTGATCTAATAATTGTCTGAAATATCTTAAAAAACTGTTTACCTTATCCATTCTCGTTTAGGATTGGCTTTCTCGTCAATTTCCTCGAGCTCGAATAATTGGTGTAGACACATCACTGAAACCATTCATTTGGCATTCGATTTGTCCACTACAGAAGATGAGGTGAGTTCCTATTTTCCCTGCAGACTTGTTTGTGTGTATATACAAGTATTTTTATATTTTGCTGCATGGAGTCCTCGGAATGGTAAAAACAAATGAAGGCTGGAGACAGTTGGTGGCGATATGGGTCAAAATCGTTCTCAATGGCCCAGATGCATTTACTCTTTATGATTTATGATATCCAATAAAACTCTACTGTTCTTATATATAACTATTCTTTTTGCCCCACATTTCCGTTTATTATCTCTCTTTTGAATCTCCTCTCTTTACTCTCTTCTCTTGTTTTGTGTGCTACATGGAGGGAGAGTGGCACCTCGAACTGCTGCACCTCTGTGCAAGGCTGGTTTGAAACCGATTAGTCAGTCATTTTTCTGCACAGTAATTCAATTGCCCAGTTGCATTGGATCAAGTAGTTCAGCTATGTACTACGAAGGAGACTTTTTCGAATACAACTTACAACTTTTATTTTCGAATTGAAGCTTAGAAATTCACTTTTTTCATGCATCCCCCCGAAGAGAGTGAGTTGAGTCAAACCGAATGCACCGCTGATAATTAGCTGGACCTCAAACGAGCCAAATAGCTGTCCCGTGTTTAGATCACTTCAATCTGGCTAAAGAAAAACACGACTGGTTGTTGATGTGAGTGATATACAACTACTCATCTCAATGAATCAATCAGTAGTATATAGTTTTATGCAAATATGCTTGCTTCCTTGATTACTAATTGTGATATCAAGCAGATCACATATTGTAATGTGAATAATTTCAGTTTCTAAAGGAAACTGTGGTGAAATCTCACCTCAAAATATGTAAATGGCAAATTTATTTTAAAAAAATCTGATTTAGAGTAAGTTTAAATACACGTGAAGTATCTCACTAGTTTAGTCAGTTGGAAATATTCCAGTGTAAATTTGTTTCAATGCACTTGCGTAAATGGAAAACAAGTATACTTAGCGCAAAAGGTTGTTTCATTTACTTATATATGATTATTTCAGATTAACATATATTTAGAAGCTATTATTATTATTCCCTTGAGTTCCGAGTGGAACATAGAGCTTCAACAACACATCTCCACTTTGTTCTATTCTCTGCCGTCCTCTTCAGCTGGGTCCACAATCGCCTATAATCTCTCATCGCCTCCTCTCCGAACAATCTACTCCATATCACCCTCGCACTGACAACTCACTCGTCGCTTCCTATTCGGATTCCACTCGAGTGATGGCCTGCGTTGCGCGCTATGTCGTTTGACGGTTTCCTCAGCGTATGTCCGATCCATCTTTATTTTGTCCCACATATTTGTTGAGCAGTCAGTTCTTGACTGGTTTGTTCCCAGTCAGAGTTTCTTGTTTCTAATTCTTTCTGGCCGGCCGGCCATTTAATCTTTAGGATGGAGCCAGCCAGTGAAGGTGGTGGCTATTGATAAAAGTCTGTAACAGGTTATTGGAAATGCTTTCCGTGACTGACACGCAGTGCAAGTTTGTGACCCATATAGAAGGACTGACTTGACATTTGTGTTGAACAGAATCCGAATGTTGTTCTTTATGTTGGCTGAGTGAGTGAAGCAGACGGTTTCCCAACTGGTTTCAGGTTGGTGAAGGCGTATGTTGCTTTTCCAATTCTGACTGGCTTTGACATCTTCATTCGTTCCAGCTGACTGTGGTTCCCAAATTACTTCTCGGTCAACGCTACCGAAGGCCTTTTCGAAGTTGATAAAGTTAAGGTACAGGTTCGACTGTTCTTCCATTCTTTGTTCGTTGATGACGCTTAGATCTGCAATTTGATCAGCACACTATTTGCCTTTCCTGTAACCAGCTTGTTTCGGGGGCAGAGCTTTGCATCTAGAGCGTCGTATGGTATTTCTAGTATGACACGACTCCATATTTAACTTGGCGTGGACAAGAGCATTATTCTACGCCAGTTCTTGCAGAGTGAAACCTAAGCCGCGCCTCTGGCAGCTTGACGACGTAGCCTTTCTTCCAATCGGTAGGTACCTTTCCTTCTTTCCAAACCTTTTGCAATAATGGCGTAAGCGCATCCTCCTCAGTCTCCGGTTCCGTTGTCAGTGCTTCGGGGGGAATTCCGTCTGAGTATTGTATTCGAAGTAATTGATTTGTAAAGACTACAATACTACAGTAATGTCGAATGGATCTGTCATTCCGACCGGTATAACTTTCGCTATCTGCTGATTCAAAACCAACTTTTCCAGACTGATTTTTTCATCAGTCATCTGAGTCATCTAAACTGATGCCAATGGCGCTGTAGATAAATATAGTTGTATCTATTCCCCTGGTTTTTTTAGTTCTTCATTCATCTATGTGCTCTTTTTTTCTGCTTCGTTGAAATGCTCTGCTATTGTCACCTTTCTTTAGTCACTATGTTTGACGTGTGGTTACCTTAAATAGTGATCCCCCCATTTTCTGTATTACCTTAGACTATTTTCCTAAATATAGACTTGTCGTAGACCTCATTTTTTCCATACTTCTCTTTGTTAAAAAAATCAAAGCAAGGTATTGAACATATTGGATGCTTTTTTCATCTTTGTGTAACCATCATCTTTAGCAATGACTTCCGATTTGCTTATTTCTACCCACATGCATCTCTTTGGCTTTACTTATATCATAACCTTTTCCTGAAGTAATAATTTGCTGTATCGATCCGCCCATTACTAGTTTTTAAATTTATTACTGAAATATCATTTCTGTACTTATATATCCATGATAATGACAATTGTCATGCTCTGTGATTTATTTGTCAACTATACTGTTTTGTACAAAAATCCTCCAGTTTCCACTCTGTATTAACTGGCTTTGTTCTTGTTCCTCTCCCCCCCCTTTAAATGAAATTACTTCACTCAGACACTAGGGTGTTTGAAGGCAAAAGCTAAAAAAAGTACAGTATCTCGAATAATCGTAAAAATCCTTAAGATGGTATGTAAATATGTCATAGCTGTAGAACAGTTGTCCTTAAGCTTTACATTTCAAAAAGGGTTTTGTTTTTAACCCACCCTTCTCCAGCCTTAAAGTAAGACTATCGTCTCCTTGGCAGAATCTGATTTTGGAGACCCTAGGCGATATGATTCAGAATTTCCCGTATAACTGCAAATGTATTCATATGTTTTATCATGGCGATTATTGCATTTCTTTACGTGTGTTTCTTCCTTCCTTTCTCTTAATCTGGTGACGTAAGACTTTGAACTTTCTTGTGTCATTTTCGATCTTCCTCTTATTACTTTCTAAATTACGTGCAAACATGAGTTGTTGTAACATTACGCAGTAATATCTATGGTTTTTCTCGGATCGAATTCGTCTCAATTTCACTTCTAGAGAGCAATATCTCCCAGCATAGTTATAATATCTTGGACTAAATGTGATTTCAAGATTCCCCTTAGACGCTCTGAAGCTTGATATGTGTTGGTATTTACATGCAACTCAATCTTTTACCAGTTAAAATTCTTAGCTTGACAAAATTTTGAAGACGGAAGTGCTGTAGTGGGGATATGTCTCAAAAATTAGTTTAGTAGGTAAGCTAGACCACCAGCAATTTTGATTCTTTCGTTTTTAAACTGGTGGTTGGCTTTCAATGAGATGCTACAATGGAAATGGGACGTCTAGGGAAACAGGATTCGGCTGAGAGTGTGTTACATAGGGAATAAGCAACGAATGCCTATTTAGCTATGTCAGGTTAGTCGGCAGAGTTGCGGATCTTCATCAACTAAGGTTACTAGTCTGTGAACTAAGCATAATAATCCATTATCTTTCCAGACGAGAAGTATTTAGGTCAAATAGGATAAGCTTGACAGAAAGTCAAAACTTATTGAACCAGGATGTAACATCGATCCGTCTGGTTGTCTAAACAGTTAAGGTAAGTGTAATTTGTCTATTAAAGGTCTTTAGGATCTTAGGAATCAAAGCTTGGACAATTTCAGCATTGCTTTTCATAACGCATTACAATGATTCCTGTATATTTTCCACTTATTATCTTCAAGTTTGGGTTTTCTGGGGCTCTTATCGAATTCCAGGGAGATTTTGTCACTAAACTGTTGTTTTTAGTGTCATATTCTTCATGTGGGTTGCAGCAACTTGAACTGATACCCTTTTTCACGTCAGATTATTTGTTGAATGTGTCTGCCGATTCGTCAATCAACATCAAACTGTCTCATGAGAATTTCAAGCACTGCCGTGTTGTAACGGTAGAAGACGAGAGACTTTGTAGATGAATTTGGTGTGTCTATATAGCGAAATTATGTACATCTTGTCTTCAACGCACCATTCGCACAGATCGTCCATGTTGTTCTACTTCTGTCCTTCATAGTGTGTATCTTTGTGTCCCTTTCACGTCTCCCATGTATTTCCACAACTCTCTCTGGCTGGCTGGATTCAACACAGAACTTGGCACCGAAGTGCAGCAGTTCAAGTTGCCACGTTCCAAAGAGCACACAAAGGTAGACAAGAAGATGAGTGAAGAGAATCAATAGAGTCTTGACAAGTATAAAAGTGAAACAGAGTGAGTAATGGTAGAAAGAAATATGAAAGATTACAGAGACTGAATACATCTACGTAAGCCATTGACAATGATTTTGAGCCATGTCACCTATTGTCTCCAGCCATTGATTCTTAGAGTCCCGAGGGCGGGCCCCAACCCGGAAGTCTGCATCTCCCTACCTGACTCAGTTTAACTGTCAAGGATTTCATGGATTGATGCCATGTTTTTGTTTGGCCACCACTTACTCTTTTCCAACCTGCACCTATATCAGCTAGTAATGGCCGTCCGTCGGGGGAGGCGATGGTTAGGCATGCACAGGACGTGACCTAGCCATCTCAATCTATGTAACTTTATAGCCTCGTCGATTGATTTTCCCTCTTTGCCTAACAATCTACGCCTAACGTCGACATTACTTACCTTAATATACCACCTAACGTGAGAAAGAGATCGTAAACATCTATGATCGAAAACAGTCAACCTTTTGATGTCTTCAACTCGTATTGGCCATGTTTCAGAGCCATAGAGAAGGACGGAGTGAAGTGCTGAGCAGTACATACGTCCCTTGGTTGATAGTCGGATGTCACGCCTACGCCAGAGATGGCGTGAGTTTATCGAAAGCAGCTCGAGCTTTTTAGATCCGTGCTGAGATCACGTCACCAATCAGTCCGTTGGTGCTGATACAACTTCCCAAATAGGTGAAGTGGTCAACATGTTCTATCACTTCACTCCCTATCACTAAGCTAGGAGTTGATGTAGTCCAGTCCTGTAGATTTCCACAACGCTGTATTCTTTACTTTCTCTGACATCAAATCTGTCTTTCTGCTATTTGATGTTTTTATGCCAATGAACGTCTCTTTAAATACTATTGATAAATCTTATCAGTAGCACATGCCACAGTGTGATTTTCCTACTGTATATGAATTTTTCTGTCGGTAGCAGTTTGATCTAGGATCAAATAATGTATGGTTTTAATGCTAAATTCAGTATTACTGAGCATTTTAATGCAGGAAACACTTAGTGGTTAGATAGATGGTATTTTGATATCTACGATATTTTGGTCATCCGGTTCGCTGCCCTTTCTCTCTATGTTATTGTATTATTGAAGTGTATCATAGCAATTATAAGACAATGCGATCGTTCACATTACCTTATTTATTTATTTATTTATGTGTTTTACTTATTGGATTGTAAGATACACTGCATCAAATCTATGCTAATTTCGATATTTATACAAAAATACAATCTCATGTTTACTAACATGTATAATTGTCACATTCCACTCATTATCTGTTTTAACTGATTATTTTTTCAGGCGTACATTGGATAAACGAGCTGTTGATATAATGGAACAATTGAAAAAAGCTGAAGTTGGCTGTCGACCTATTGTGTGGATTACACATTCAGCAGGAGGTATTTAATTGATTTTGTTTTTGTTTTTTTCTATTTTAAACTTTCTCAAATGAAAAAAAGAAAGATTTAGTGCTCACACTACTCGCTAAAAATTAAAAAAACTCATGTATTTGCACAATACACTCTAATTGACTGTAGGAAATATAACTATCAATTAATGCAGTCATTGTAGGATGATGCATCATGCGGAGTTATGTTTTTTCTCACTTTATACGTTTGTGTCTTAATTGACTTCTTGTTTAGCTGGTAAAATAATATTCTTATTTTACCGTTTACATCAATTAGTATTATTTATTCTAAGTAGTGAGACACGAACTTCGCCTGGGAAACTAGCTCTCTAGTTTCCTAGCCAGTCCCGAACCCGGGTAAAGAGGGAGGGTTGGGCGTGAGGCTAGCGACCATACGCCACAAAAACTCTATCAAACTGCCAGGGAAACTTCAACGCACAAAAATGTATTAAAAATACAAAAAAATAAAATAACAATCTTATTCTTCTCTGAAATTTGATGGGCGAAATGACGTGGGTTGGTGAAAGCCTCCGGGAAGCCAGTCAGCCACCTGATGTGACTTTTCTCTCTCGATAAAAGCAAGAATAAGAATGGAGATGTGGAATGTCCGTACAGTGTACGAGGCTGGCTGGAAAGGCTGCCCAAGTAGCTAAAGAAATGTGAAGATATGGCATAGATGTGCTGGGTAGCTGCGAGAGCAGATGGAATGCATGTGCATTATCGAAATTGTCAACTGGAGAGTCAGTAATCTACTCCGGTCTGGTTACCCAGACGACAACCACTAGCACACTGAGACAGTGAGTGGCTATCGTTATGTCACCAGTGGCAACCAAAGCCCTAATGCTGAGTTTCAGCTGAGAACTTAGCATAGAATTACACCAGTTCAAGTTACCACATTCCATACAGCATACAAAGGTAGAGATAAAGGGATTCAAAACTACTATAATAAGCAGAAATGTGAAAATGAAATATAGTAACATGGGAAATCACAAAGAACAAATGCATCTGCGGCATTGAAAGCTACTTTAATCGCCAACTGTCTCCAGGCATTGGATTTTAGCATCCTGAGAACCCCAACCAGGTAGTCTACACCTTCCTATGTGGCTCAAACTAATTGTTAAAGATTCCATGGATTGGTGAAGCCATGTTTTGATTAAACCACCACTAGCTCTTTTTCAACCTAATCCTATGTCAGTTAACACTGCTGCTGTCGAGGAAGACGGTGGTTTTTATCATGCTCAACAAGTGTCCTAGCCATCTCAGTGGACATAGCTTCACAACCTCATCGATTGACTAACCTTCATTACCTAACACTCTACGCCTATTACACACAATATATGACTACACTAACTACTGTTAACAATAGGTATGATCAAGTTGAAAAATAAATAATACATTGCTTAGCGAAAAAAAAAATTTCACCGGCTTTTGCGCATCAGAGACAAAGCATTGTAAATATATTTTAATGAATAAAAAGGTTTTAAAGAAGACGAGATTAGTGTTTGACTCTTTCGTACTACTTTTTTATATAGGCTTATAAGATACCTGCCTAGATGGTCAAATTTTTCTGCCTTATCTGGTGTTTTCTCAATCTGTGTATGTTAAACATTCTTGAAATTTCTCAATCTATCGATTTGTTACCTCGGGATGTGCTTTTTTTTTTCTCTTTCTTAAAACTCATTAAGAACATTACCAAGTTATCATTGTAATTAGACATTTTGTGTCAAATCAGGCATGACTATAATTTGTTGGTATTAGATGGTTGGAGGCAATCGGCCACAGGAAGCCTTCCAACTAGGTTTCGTGCTAGTTGGAACTCACCAGTCAGCAAAGGGTATCTGCAACCTTTCAGAAATTCGTGTCCCTTCTGCAATTCGAACCCATGTCACCCAGTGCCGCCTGCAGTCAGAGACGCTACCGCTGAGCTATTCAGGCTCGCGATTGACCTCGTGTAGGACTGTATCGGATATTTTTGATTGGACACTAGTCAGTAACTAGTGTAATGTGTGTTTCTAGTCCTATTCTTGGTACAGACTGAGTCGAGTTTGCAATTTGGTCACCATGCTAGGTGGCTCGTCATCACGGTGCACTGTGAACTGTTGGTATAAGGTATTTGGAGGCAGTCGGCAGGAAGCCTTCCAACTAAGTTTTGGGATAGTTGGTACTCACCAGTCAGCAAGACGTATCTGCAATCTTGAGTGAACTCATGTCCTTCCTGAGATTCGAACCCGTTTCACTATAATTTTGTGTTATCGTAATGAGAAAATTGATAATACTGAGTCTTAAGTGTATATATTCTGTAGAGATATTCTTTTTCATATAGATAAGAGAGAGAGAGAGGGATGGTTGACTGTGTTCAATTGAGGTTGCAGTAACAATGATGTCTACTCGAAAGTTTTACCACAGCATCCACCTTGGATGTGTCTGCTGTTAAGAAACTCCACTGCAGAACATTTTCGCCTTGCTTATACTTTTGTTATGTATTTTTTTATTTGATTTTTTGATTGATTTTTGATTACAGCTTGATTCCACACCGTATTTTTTGGTACAGGTATGGAATTTTCAGCATGTGATATCGGTAGCCCAAATTTTGCAGGCCGACCATAGATATCAGGTGTGCGTCTGCAGAGGATCGAACCTCGGACCATGTGCATGGTTGACAAGAGTCCTAACCACTGTGCCACCGACGCACGTAGTCTTGGAATCTTCATGGCGTTATTTATCATAAACTCCAGAATAATTCTTTCTGACATATAAGTACGCGTTTAGGTGAGATTTAGAATATTGTGTGTTTTCGAAATGGTGGTTGTCATTAGTTGTGTTATGCCTGATTGGGAAGATATTCCTGGGAAGCACGTACACATCACATTGCTTTTAAAGGTGATAAGGTTACTGTTTAGAAAAGGTGATGAAATGTATGGGTGGTGTTAGATAGTAGGTAAAAATAAGTCATTCATCCTCGTTACATCAGTGGTATACTGATTAAATATGCGTTTGTGGAAGCGAATACATCGGCGTAAGGAAAGATGTCTTCCTAACCAATCCTATATGATCAAGTATTCACAATGGTATCCAACTAGACTCATTGACACTGTTCATCATCGGATTATGATTATTCTGTAATTGTTATGGAAAGCTTTTATAGTCATCGAGATATACACAATAACAAGTAAAGGTTTTTTTGTTTTCTAATGCTTGTCCCAATCCACTGAAAAAATCCCGGGATGTTGTGTACAGAAAAAAAAACGAATAGTCAGTCCAAACAGTGCCTTAATTGCATACTCTCTACCATTATATTGTTCTCTTCTTTTCATTTCATCACTATGTCATACAGTGAGTTTCATTTATACATTTTTGTAAAAGACGGAGAACAAACGTTATGAGATGTTTTGAATTCATTTCACTTCGCGCAGTCTAAAACATCTTACCATATATACATTAAAGTGTTGGTTTGCAGGGATTTCATTATAAACTGACATCGGTTAGAGGATCGTTGGGAAACCTGGAAGTATTGGACAGCCGTTTTGCCCTAGTTTCTTGGGTCTCTTCAACTGTTCTCACCCACCGCCGGAGTTTGAACCCAGGACCTTCCGGTTATGAGGCGAGCTAGTTTGCAGACCATTAGGCCACTGGTACCCGATCCAATCGCCAGTCCATAAATTCTAACTTCTTCTCATTCATGATATGGCGAGACCACTAGCGAATGTCATGCGTGGCGAGTATTTGTCCTATATATAAATTAAGCTAAAAATTAGTGTACAATTTGAAAATAATCTCGTATGGTTCAGTGCTAAAATCAATAACAAAATAAGTATTTTCACATATATGCTGAGACAAAAATGACATAATTCACAACCTGAATAATCATTTTCATAAAGATAACAAATTCTACTGTAAATTCCATTCAAACATAACAGAATGATATTTCAACGTAATAATAATGATGTGGTGTGATTACGGTTCAAGGTTGTAGAGAACTTAATATTAGAGAGGATAGGATAGCTAACCTATGACAGATATGATAAGGTGAAATAATGGTAATACAGTAAATGATACACTAAGAAACAAGTGTACAGTATATAATAAATATAGTGGATAATTTAATTCAATTTTAGATTTTCCCGTCGATTGATTCGACTGAAGGGCTTGGTAACTATGGGCACTGGGTTCGAGCCTCGGTGGGAACACCATCACTCAGCGACTGGGGAATGCAGGTACATCCGGATGACGAGTCTCAAATAGGACGAAATGCGTATCCTAGATTTCACTGCTAGTCACCATCCATCAATTGAATATAGTGGATAGTTGAAAATGCTAGAAAGGTGGTGAACAGTGTTTGTAGATAGAATAATTACTAATTTTACTGTTACGTTTCGTCAAGAACCACCATCAGTTAGAGGCCAATAATAAAATCAGGAAGCATTAGACAGTTGTTTGTTTGTTCATTTTTGGGACTCTGCAGTAGTGCACATCTAAGACCCCACCAGGGATCGACTGCTGGACCCTCCAGCTTACGAGATCAAGCTTGATAAGCATTCAGACACTTGGGTCGGAATTCAATGACCCGTTAATTTTAACTTTGTTAATTCTTGATACAGCGCTACCCTCATCAGTACCTTCGATGAGCATCGACTTCATCGGGAAATGATGATGGACCTTACTGGTAATTACTTCTCACTACAGAGCTCCAGGAAATCCATCCGATGACTATCAAAGACGTGGAGATTGATACTTAGATTATGGGATTTGGATTAATCACAGTTGTTAGATTTCATTGTGAAGCAACATCATCAGTGAGTGATCATTGAAGGTTCTGGGTCCAATCCTTGGTGGGGAAATAGGTTCACACCAATGAAGTGTCACAAAGTAGGACGAAACAGCTGTTCAGTGCTTCCTGCTTTTCAATTATCTCTATCTGATTTTGACCAGTAACTAAATCTGACAACTGAAATTGATCCAAATACCCACAAATCCTATATTCGAAGTATTGTTATTATTACACGGGTGTTTTGTTTCCTGCCTTCCCTGTTGTTACTATTATATGATATTTAAGCTGGAATTGATTTCTCGCTGGACGTTATAGGTTTTAAGTCATTTGTGTAAGTCAGTATAGTTCATAAATTGTCTGAGATTTTTTTGTGTGTGTGCTGTCGTCCTTGCCTTATTCAATTAAAATAAACTTTGTATGCGTAATATTTCCAATCAAAGTTTCGTAAAATGATATTTAAAATAGCCTAAAACTTGTTCGTTACATTAACATTTCGACTTACAGTACTCAGAAACTGTAACACGTATAAATAATATTTTAAAATAATGGAGAAGATTTGTAGCTCAGGTGGATGATATTGAATTAGTTGCGTTCTCTGAGCTGGTTGATTTAATTGCAAAGCTTTCGTCGTCCACCTGCTAGACAACATCTTCACCGCAGGTTTTACTATGGAATGAACTCATTTCAATTCTCCATGAATTATATAATTGTGTTTCCTGGCAATAAATGTCGTGACCAGTTGTTGATTTACGTCTTTATTGATCATTTTTATTGATTTGGAATTTGAACTTTCTTGTCATGTGATTTACTTTTTATTAGCTAGTGGTAAATTTGGTCTATAGTAATGTGTTTATTGATTGCTGATTCTCTTGAGTACCAGGCTTCTAGGAATTCCCTGCCTGCAGTTTTGGTGTTTCCTCTATTTAAAATTTCTACATTATCCCAATCATCAAATTGGTGTCCATAATTATCCACATGCATTGATACGAAAGAATATATATATCATGTCTTTTTACAGCTAATTTGTGTTCTTGGATTCTGATTCGAAGGGGATGCCCACTTTGACCGATGTAATGTTTGTTACAGTTCATACAATTTATTTTTTAAATTGCAATAATTTTATCTGCTTTTCTTTCCCATTGTATCTTTCGGTTTGCTCAATATTGAATGAAGTGATTGAGCTGGCTGGCTGGCTGGCTTGTGTACTTTATGTATTTCAAACGGTCTTAATATTCTAGCTGTTATTTCAGAGATATTTTTTATATATGGTAGAATGAGTTTTCTTGTGGCCTTTGATTAATAGTTTCTTGCTGGCCTTGTGACTCGAGTCTAAGCACTTTTCGATGAAATTGTGAGGATATCCATTCTTTTTAAACTTTGACATCAATTTTAGAATATCGGTGAAATAATAAGATCATCAGTTAAGAAGAAAAAATAACAGGTGTCTGCTGAATCCGAGCCGCCACCTTCCTGTATACTATTGTCATCTGAAGTAGGTTGAGATTAGGAGAAAGCTATTGGTGGGCCCATACTCTGAGAAAACCATCAAGTGACATCACACGCCAGGCTCTCTCCCGAGTGGAACCCAAATGGGAAGCGGCGAGTTGGTCGTCAGTGTGAGGGTGACATAGAGGAGGTCATGCGATGAGGATATGAAAGCATGTGGGCAAACGTTGAAAACTTTGGCAGAGAACCGAACGCATTGGAGATGTGCGACTGAAGCCCTATATTCCTCTAGGAACTAAAGGAGACAATAATAATAATATTGTTGGCGTCACCAAATCGATGCACTTCTTTGCAGAACTCCACATCGGTATTTTATTTTTACAGGAAGCACTTCTACTCCCTTTATAATTTTATTATTATTTTATTTATTGTTCCCTTGGGTTCCTTGTGGAACACAGGGCTTCAACTGCACGCCTCCACTTGCTTCTGTCTTCTGCTGTACTTTTCACTTGCATCCATGTTAGTCCATACTGTTTCAACTCCTCTTCACACTATCTCTTCCATGTCACCCTTGGACGTCCCACTCGCCGCTTCCCTTTCGGGTTCCACTCGAGCTATGGCCTGACGCGCGATGTCACCCAGCGGCCTCCTCAGCGAGTGTCCAATCCATCTCCACTTCCTCCTGCATATTTGTTGGGCGATTGGTTCTTGTTTTGTTTGTTCCCATAGCTTCTTGTTAGTGATTCTTTCCGGCCATCTGATCTGGAGTATAGAACGAACACAGCTGTTGATAAAGGTCTGCAACAGGCTGTTGGAAATATTCTTTGTGACCCGAGGCCAAGTTTCTGATCCGTATATAAGAACTGACTGACTCGACGTTTGTATTGAAAATCCGAATTTTGTTGTTGATGCTGAGTGACGAAGATTTCCAGATTGGTTTCAGGTTGATGAATGTGTTTCTAGCCTTCCCGATTCTCGATTTGACATCCTCGTCCGTTCCTCCTGTAGTTGAGACAATATGCCCCCTAGATAAGTGAATGAAGTATCCTCTTTCAAATCCCTCCCGTTGATCGTAATTGACGTTGAATGTTGCTGCTGCTGTTGTTGTTGTTGGTTATTTTCATAACCTCCGTCTTGTCTATGTTCACCTGGAGTCCTGTCTTTGCTGCTTCTTCGACCAGTTTGTCAGTTTTCGCTTGTAAGTCTTCGATTTTGTGTGACATCAAACATAAATCATCCACGCGCGAAATCCAGGTCTTCTAGGTTCTTCACGACGGTCCAGGATATCCCTGTCTTCTCGTTTCCCACTGTCTGATGCATAATCCAGTCCACCACAATTAGGAATATTATTGGTGATAATAAGCACCCTTGTCTGACTCCTGTGTTTACTCCAAACGTCTCGCTGAGTTTTCCGTTTTGGATGACTTGACATGTGCCGTTGTCGTACAGCTGTTGAATAAGGTTGATGAATATTTGGGGTACTCCGTAGTACTCGAGTAGTTTCCAAATTACTTCGCTGTCAACGCTGTTGAAGGCCTTCCCAAAGTCTATAAAGTTGAGGTAGAGGTTTGATTGCCATTCCATGCTTTGTTCGATGATGATGCGTACAGTTGCAATTTGGTCAGAACATGATTTTTATAATTACTTAACTGTATATAAGACTATCACTTTGGTTGTGTGATTATGTATACCACTATATCAGCTAAGATGTACTTATTATAATGTCGACTTTTTAATAATAATAATAATGTGTGTGACTCATTCAACTTGAACTCTAGTCTTTTATATTATGAGACATGAGTTCAAACCTCATTCCTCCTATTTCAACCTTACAGATTCATTAGGCCTCACGTAAGATTTGACTGGTAGTCATACATACATAACTAAATGTACTGAATTACAAAAAATATGCTAACATTCCAATCTGTCTATAAGTGGAACGTACATGTGTTTTTTTATTTATCTCTGTGATCTGATTTCAAATATTTCCTTCTTAATTATTGATGATAGGTATTCTTGTGAAAGAAATGCTTCGTCTAGCCAAATCTGTAAATACTACTGATCCATCTGAAGGATATGTGGACGAACAACCTCATCTCAATGCATCATCAACTGCTGAAAACTTCACACATACTTCAAAAACTTACGGAGATTTATCACAATTAGATGAAAAAAATCACCCCATTCCAGTGCAAAGCAATAATCCTACATCTCTACATCCCAGTACTTCGCCTTCTTGTAAATGGTATTGTCATGAAAATGAAATTAATGATGAAGTCGCTTCAATGTCTAAACTGTACAACTCTGATGACATTTCAGCTGCTGATGAGGAGAACAAAATGCATCAGAATGTGTCACCGGATCTGTCCACCGGAAATCAATTATCTATCTCTCCCAACTGTGATCGTACATTATATGAAGATTATAGTGATACTAGTTTAATGAATTTATCCGATGATTCACACTTAGCTCCTGCTGAATATCAAAATTTAGCCAGCAGTACACAGGCAATTGTATTCATGAGTACACCACACAGAGGTAATCAATCTTTGTTCACTTTATATCGTCGACCTTTCCGTTGGGCACTTACTCCTGAGGCTATTCAACTTGAAAGAAGTAAGTCGATATTATTACTCCTAATTAAGAAAAAATAATTGTTTTTATCATAAAATTAAAAAAAAACAATATGCTATGAAGATTTAGTAGTTCAAGAAGAGTTTTTTTTGTTATAGTGTACCTCCTTACTGTATTACTGTTACGGTAGAAAATAAGAGACTTGGTAAAAAAATGTTTATCTGGAACTTGGTATATCTCTATATAGTAGTGAAATTATGTACACCTTAACTCCAAATCACTATTTACACAGATCTTCCGTGTTGTGCTGCTTCTGCCCTTCGTATTGTGTTTCTTTGTCTTCTTTTCGTGTCTCCCATGTTTTTGCTGCAACACTGAATCATTTGTTCTGTTTTACATCAAATCTATCTCCCTGCCATTCGATATTTTTATGCTGGTGAACAGCTTTATTTTTTTATTCCTTCACGTTCCCAGTGGAACATAAGGCTTCAAGCTAGAGTCTTGAAGTTTCTGTAGCAGTGTTTATTTTTACAGGATGAGGTCGCTAGCCTCATGCCCAATGTTTCCTCTTCACCAGCTTTATTTCTGGCTGAGTGAGGTAAAGGAGTGCGTCGGTGGCCGGGGATCGAACCCCGGACCATGTGCATGGTCGGCGAGCGTCCTAACAGCTATGCCACCGACGCCGAACAGCTTTAAAGTTATCGAAAATAACCCCAGCGTGTCTAAGAAAATATAAAAACAATATCTTTCTTCAAAGTTTCGCTGTGTAAGCCACAACTTCTTCAGCAGAATTATGCAGATTTTATTAATCATCAAAATGCATACTCATGTAATTACATAAATTGAAGACAGTTCCTTTGAATGTCACTTTTGTCGGTGGATATTTGTACCAATAGAAAAGTGTTAAACAGTCATCACATATTTGTAACGAATAATGACTAATGTCAACTTGTCATATATATGCATATTTGTCTGTATGAGTGTGTGTGTATGTTGTTTGTTATGTGGAAAACACGTCAAAACATGATAATATTTCTTATAGGTTTCCAGGCCGTAGGTGTTACGATCTTCCTGGAATAATTTGAGCGCCGAGTCAGATTGATTCATTATAAATTATTTAAATTAATCCCAACGTTTTAAGAAAATCAAAACAAGATTTTTCTGAACGTTTCGCTGTGTAAGCCATAGCTTCTTCAGCAGATTTATTCGGATTTTTATTAATCATCAAAATATATAGTCAAAAATTTAACATACATTAAAGTCAGTTTATTTGAAGGTCATTTGTCTATGGACATTTTTACCAATAGAAAATATGTAAGCAGTCATCACATATATTTGTTTGAAATCTACATATTTTACCTTTAAAGACAAACTATACTGTCAAACAAATGGAGTTGCAATGGGCTCACCAGCATCTCCAATTGTAGCTAACCTTTATATGAAAGCCCTAGAAAAGAAAGCATTGACAAGTTTTAGTTGTCATCCTAGAAATATGGTACAGATATGTAGACGACACATTTATCATCATAAAGAAAGCTGAAAAAGAAAACTTTCTAACAGAAATCAACTTAATCTCAGAATATATTGAATTTACTAATGAAATAGAATCGGCTGAGGGAACTCTAAACTTTCTTGATTGTCTTGTAAAAAGACAAACTGACGAGAAACTAAAATTTACCATATACAGAAAGCCGACACATTCCAACAAGTATTTGAATTTTCAATCACATCATCCAATAAGAATGAAAGTTTCAGTAGCTTTAAATCTCATTGACAGAGCTAGAAACATTATAACAGATAATAATGACATGGAGAACGAAATCTCTAACATAAAACAAATTTTGATTGGAAATGGTCTTCCGAAAAGGCTACTAAATAATATTATCAATAAAAAGGAGCAGGAGGGAAAACAGGAAAAAATTGAAAAATCTTGGCTATCGACGATAGCCATTCCATATCGAAAGGACACAGCTGAACAACTTCAAAAACTTCTTGCTTCATATAATATTAAAGTCTATTTTAAGCCCTCTAATTCTCTAGAGAAAGCTTTGGTGAATGTCAAAGATATAGTTCCCAAAATGTCGCAAAGTAATTGTGCCTATAGGATAAATTTTCAGAATGTGAAGCTTGCTGTGTGGAGGAGAGCAGTAGACAGGTGAAGGTTAGAGTGAATGAACTTGGACTGTGCACGAAACGTCGACCTAGAGATGAAATAGAATTAAGAAGTGTAGAAAAAGGATCAGCTATAGGAATGCACGCTATAGACAGTGGAAATAAGATTGATTTCGACAATGTCGAAATTCTAGGAAGAGGCTTTCATTGAAATAGAGAAGGGTTGACCTCTGAAGCCTTACATATTTTAACCACATCGAATACAGTAAATAGGAGTGAAGGAATAGACTCTAATGAAGCAAAACAGATGAGGGAGAAAAGCTAATTCAGTCCTATATTATGACCATATAATGAAATATTATCATGTTTTGACGTGTTTTCCACATAACAAACAACATGCACACACACACTCATACAGACAAATATGCATAAATGACAAGGTGACATTAGTCACTAGTCGTTGCAAATATGTGATGACTGTTTACACTTTTCTATTGGTACAAATGTCCACCGACAAAAGTGACATTCAAAGGAACTGACTTCAATTTATGTAATTACATGACTATGCATTTTGATGATTAATAAAATCCGCATAATTCTGCTGAAGAAGTTGTGGCTTACTCAGCGAAACGTTCGGAACAATCTTTTTTTGATTTTTTCACTAACACTCTGAAAACCTATAATCTGATGAATGTCTGTTTACACACTACTGAGAAATCTTATCAGTAACACGCGCGACATTTCCATTATTTCACCTCAAAAAGTGTTATGTTGGTCTTCATTTACCTTAAACAGCAGCTGAATGTAAAGCGAATGTCTAGAGTCTTGTTATGATTATTTAATTGCTGAATTTTTTTTACTTCCTGGATGACCATTGTTACATATTTCATTTCACAACTTTCTGTTCATTCGCCAACATGCTTTCAGCCTGTAAAGTGCTATACTGACAAATAGCAACAAAATTCGTAAAATCCTTCGACTCTGTGGATAATATTCTATGAACTGATATACTTGACCGTCTAAAAGCTCAAATAATATTAGCATTCCTCTTATATTCTATGCTACATAGTTTGAACTTGAATGTTATCAGTAGGGAAAAATGAATCAATTTTCAAGTATTGGTTTTGTTGGGACTTTGTTTGGTTAGTCCCGGGTTCAAACCCCGGTGGGTGCGTACTCCTGAAGAGTCCCAAACTGAGACGAAATAGGTGTCCAGTACTCCTAGGTTTTCCAGTGGTTCTTCAACTGATGTCAGCTCATGATGAAATCCTTCAACCAAAAATGATTAATCTTACAGGTTTTAGTCCAAGTTTACATCAACTATAACACTTTGATAAGGCTATTAGCATTAAATAGCGAGACGTCAGTAAAAACAATATCGTTTTGTTTTTCATTCATTGGGAAATACAAAAACCTTTATTATAATGAACTCACTATATCATTTATATGAAGCTAGGTATAAGTCTGTATTTTTCCTTATTCTGATGAACACTGCTATTTTTGAGTCAAGAAAAACATGTTTGTGTTAGATGCGTAGTATCATATATGTTCAGTTGAATAAGCTTCCACAGAAATGAAAATAAATCATTTTTAAGACATAGTCCTTATATGTAGAACAGTTATGTTATTCGGCTGCAAATTGTTTCATGAACAGATACATAATCGATTAGTTAAAAGAAATTGATCAGTACATTCGTTCACATCAACTATTCTTTAGCAAGAGTGAATATTCCATTATATTTCACAAAGCATTTCAATAGAGACCCAATATATTTTGTTTAATGATTGCCCCAAATTTCAGGTGGGAAAATTAGGAATTAAAAGTTTTTCTTACAGAGACTATTCATGTTTCTGACTGAAATAATTGGTTGGCGACTACTCACAGCAATCTATGTTTCTCATTAATCAGCCTAAGCTGACCTATTGATAGAAGAATAAAACTTGTGCACTGTGGTGGAGGATAATTCCATTATAGGGAAAATTTATTTTGATAACATCTCAAAGTGTTATACAGTAATATTTACTGATGACCACGTTTCGAGCACAATTTATTCCTGCTGATAATCATATCAAGGTACTCTTACAACTTTCTAACTTCCATTATTTTCCATCGCTTGATTTGATTGGTAGTAGTACTTTCCATATTTCCGGTATGAGTGACAATTAAACAAAATAATATAATTTACAAAATACCATGCAATGACTGTGAGGTCAGCTACATAGATCAAACTAGTAGATCGGGGGTAGTCAAATTGTCGGAAAATAAGAATTTAGCTAAGGTAAGAATGGTTGACCCTGAGAAGATAAGTAATTTTCAAAACAGCCCAGCGATTGCAGTGCATGCATTAACACACAACCAGACAATAGAGTGGGTAGGACATAGTCAAAATTCTAAAGAGTAATATATGTAGGTGGAGAGAGAGATCGATTACAGAATCCTTGTTCATTGAGTCTTCACCCAACACGCGCAATAGGAATGATTCATCACTCATACCAGAAATATGGAAAATGCTACTACCAATCAAATCAAGCAATGAAAAATAATGGAATTATATAAACGAAGTTAGAAAGTTGTGTAAGCACCTTGATATGATTATCAGTAGGAACAAATTGTGCTCGAAACGTGGTCATCAGTAAATATTACTGTATAACACTGTGAGACTATCAAAATAAATTTTACCCATAATGGAACTAAGTTGACCTAAACTTTTAATAATATAGTCATTTAGCTTGATTGGGACAGACCTCATCGATGATATTTCCGAATTGATTTGATTCTGGGATTTCCTACTCTTTACAGAAGACCATTTGTATAGTCATCGCATCAGGCAACTGTAATACGCTAATGGATGAGTTTAACTGAGGCGCAATTGTCGTTAGTTTCAAGGGAAATTAGCTACAATAAACACGTTTAATTTTGCGTGCTTTTAATTTCGGGAAACTTGAATTATTTACGCGTTTTTTTGCATGGTGCATTTTTCTTTTTTGTAAGCAGCTTATACTATGTTGATACCATTGTGCCTATATACTTAGTAATTAATAATTCTAATAATTTACGTCGTTTGCTAAACAACTAGGTTATTGTATTATTAATACCTTACTATTCACATACTAGAAAGAATTTACGCTGCTTTATATTTTGCAATTAATTCAAAATGACCTTTATGAAGATTGTGTAATAGTAATTACCAATAGTCGATATGGTTTCTAGCTCCATGATGAAGACGTTGATTCTTGCAGATATGATATTTTCTTATCGTTTATATTAGTTCAAGAAGAATATAAACTTGCATCCCCATCCCTAACTGACTTAAATGTTTCCCTGATTGAAATTCTCAGTTTTGTTCATGTGGGATTATTTTTTCTGTTTTCTGAAGTTTCCATAATTTGTTTTTCTCTTTTTTTCCACTCTGATAGACTCAAACTACATGTTGGATCTACATGTATGGTTTAATATGTGGGCGTATCGTCAGTCCGTCCGAGTTTTATCTATGGCTGAAAGCCGTGTAACCCCAGTGAATAGATTTTGGTCAGTACTCTTGGTTCCAGAAGATATTAGAGGTGAGATATGTCAACTTATCGCCTTTTGTATTTTTATTATCATTTCAAATTTACTTTACACAAAAAGACATGTGGGTTGTTTTACCTCTCAGTCATATCAGCTGTTATCTCCTGTCAACGAGAAATTTATGCAGTAGAGAGAACTTCGCGAATATTCAGAAGTTTCCTTAAGCATTCTTGTCGTAACAAGAAGAAAAAAACTATGTATCTTTTAGGTTCTCAGAGATTCAAAGTATATCTTCATTGTTTTTTCAAACAAAAAGATTCACTAAAAGCAATGAAAACCTTACCGACTCCTATTGCGTAACGCTTAGAGCGAGATCAGTTGTCTCACTTGTATTAGAATGCCGTAGTATTGAAATTTTCCACGGAATAACGGCGCATCCACCAGGAAATCTTAGAAATTTAGTTAAAATAACTATAGCTAAAATGAATTCCTTTTATCTTGTCTCTAAATTTTTAGATTTCTTCTTATGCATAGATCTAATCATCACTACATCTAGACTGCCATCAGTGAAAGGCACATGTAGGCAGCATACGTGTTTATTCTACTTTGGGTGAGGGGGGGTTACTACTCTTTCTGTCAGTGTTGTTTCATGTTACTCCATTGATTTGGAAGAAATATTGGCCTTTTACTTATGATCGCTAATATTTTCGCTTGCTATACTAATTCACCTGTGATGAAATTTCTCTTCATATAACGAACTCGATTATCCCCTTAGCGGATTGACTACCTATCAGTCATACAAGGATAAAACTTGTGCACTGTGGTAGAGTATAATTCCATTATGGATAAAAATTTTATTATGATAAAATCACACAGTGTTGTTGTATAGTAATATTTACTGATGACCACCTTTCGAGCACAAATTATTGCTGCTCATAATCATATCAAGGTACTCACACAACTTTCTTGCTTGATTTATATACATGAGTGAATACTGATTAGACATTCAAATAAAATCAATGTAAGATAAGGTACATTCAGAAATAATATTAACGTTATCAATAAAATACAATAGGATGGCAAATAAGATGTTTTCATAGTAAAATAAATAACTTGTTAAAATGTTATAATGTGAATTGAAAACGGCTCTAATTACAGCACCGGGTGACGCGGGTTCGAATCTCAGAAGGGACATAAGTCCCTTCAAGGTTTCATATACGCCATGCTGACTGGTTCGTTCCAAGTAGCACGAAACTTAGTTGGAAGGCTTCCTGTGACCGATTGCCTCCAACTATCTAATATATTTTAACACTATTTATTATTCTCTGATTTGGCTGGTAGTAATAATATCTTCCATATCTCTGGTATTTGCGTTGAGTCACTTCTATTGCATGTGTTGGATGTAGCAAGGCTTCAGTAATCGATCTCTGTCTCCATCCACCTATATTGCTGTTTAGAATTTTAACTCTGTCCCACACCCTATTGTGTGGTTGTGTGTTAAGGCACGCAGTGCTATTGCTAAGCTTTTTTCTAAATTGCTTATCTTCTCGGGGTCAACTATTCTTAGCTAAATTCTTATGTTCCGACAATCTGATTACCCCCGATCTACTAGTTCGACCTATGTAGTTCACCTAACTCACAGTCATTGCAAGGTATTTGTAAATTATACTATTTTGTTTATTTGAGTCAACCTACATGGTCCTTTAGCCTACAGAGCTTCTCCTATCTGAGTGAGTTTGTAGGTATGAATGCCACCCTAATTCCCACCTTATTGAGAATTCTACGTAGGGAGGGTCTTAGATGTCCCCTCCTTATATGGCAAAACTGTAGATGCCATATATTCTTGCTTATTTATGTTATTATTAATAGTTTCACCACTATTTTTATTTTGCTTTTGACCCTTTTCGATATTCCTAATGAATTTTATTAGACAGTTATCTAGACCCACCGCTTGTTCTCCCTGTCATGAGTAAATACTACTGTATAACGCTGTGAGACTTTATCAAAGTAAAATTGTATCCATAATGGAGTGACTACCTATCAGTCACTTTTCCTTACATAATAAATCATTATTACGAATTGTAGTCTTAATCAGTTTAATAATTCAATAAATAAATAAATAAATAAACTGTCTTACTGGCTTATATAGCCATCAAATGGGATAAAATGCTATTCATTTTATGCTGTCCTGGATTGTTCTGATGACTGATGCGCACTAGCGACTTGCCCTATTCAGGTAGATAGTTACCTGGGGTTCTAGTGAGAAGTCGTGTCCAGTAGGGTGCAGCAGGTCGGATGTAAGGTCAAATACTCGCCGAAGACATTGACTAGCGGTCGCGGTATGTCGTGAATTGGCAGAAGTTGGAATTCACGCACTGGCCATTGGATCGGGTCCCAGTGGCTTAATGGTATACGAGCCCACCTTGTAACCAGGAGGTCCTGAGTTTGAACCCTGGCGATGGATGTGTATTGATGAAGAGTCCCAGACTAGGACGAAACAGCTGTCCAGTACTCCCTGCAGGTTTTCCAATGGTTCTCTAACTAATGTCACTCATGATGAAATCCTGTAATCAATCAAATCCCTACAAACCGACGCTTCATATATTTTTGTTTGTTGACACACAGTAATACCATGAATGTCACGAATATCCTTTGAAAAAAAAAACAAGTTTAAGGATATGTACTGATGAAAAACTTCAATTTGCAGGAAAATCCGAATGCCTTGGCTTCAACTAGAGATTCTGTCATTTGAGGAGAGATGCATAATTTCAAACATACCCTGCTTTTCAGCTAGATGCGTTTGTTTGTTTTTCAAATTACAACTCAAACTGAACTGCTCTAGAGAGAGACAGAGAGAAAAAAGCAGCAATAATTAGTGATTTTTTGAAATTAGCCAGTGGATAAGTAACAAATTCAGCTCATAGTGTGGTGTGAGAGCTGGCTGCTAGCCAAATTGGTAGGCAGTAGTTTACGTCAATGTTTACGTGCCCCGTATTTGTCGTGAGAAAAATCAGAACAACGACTGAGACAAAATTCAGCAATAATGTCCCAGAGGATGCGAACGCACGAGTGACCTTTAGCTAACCAATCATAAAAATGAGGAATGTTTGCTCAAAAGATGGTGTGTATGGACAAGAAAACGCATTAAACAGGTTATCTTTCTCTTACATGACTTAAAAATACGTCCCAGTTATCATGAAGAGTATCAGTTGCTAAGTTAGACTAGTTTCTGTACATGTATTCACCGAGTTGACTGCAGATAAATCGTTCATCTCTCTCATCCTGCTTGCAGTCTGCCGAAAAGCCCTCGGTTGAATTGTTATGGTTTCCAGCAAGAGGATAGACGACTACTTACCCGGAAAACGTGGATAATAAAACAAATTAAAATAAATCACATCAACTATAAATTTATCCCAAATCGTAACCCTAACCTTAGTCCTTACCCTAACCCTAAACTTAACACTGACCCTAACCGTAATGCTAACCCTAATTACAACCCTTGTTGTAACTGTAAACCTAATCCTAATTATGACCCTGATCCTAACCCTAACCCCAATACTTACCTTAACCCTAATCCTAACCCAAACGAGTTATAAACACTGTCGAAACAGTACTTAAAAACGTGATCTGGTTGAAATTTGCTCCTTAGTTGGTGAATAGCGTTGACATTTTAGCTATGATAATGACAGATGCCGTTAGCCAACGACTAGCATGCGTTCAGGGTCATTGGAGCGTTCACACTCCTGGGACGCAATTGTTGAACTTCGCCAAGACTGATTCAACAACCAATCAAATTAGACTTTGCGTAGGCGGATACGATTTTCAGGTAGATAATCTGAACTTCAATAAATGGCCACAAAGAGATGAAAGATTAACGTTCAACGAGAAACCACTAGTCAGAAGACTGTGTTTTTTCGCTTACAATAATCTATAATAATGTACATGTGAAAATCTATAAATATCTGAGTGTTGGTGTGTAGGGATCTGGTTGATTGGTTGGAGGGTTTCATCATGAGCTGACATTAGTTACAGAACCATTGGAAAACCTGGGAGTACTGGACAGCTGTTTCATCTTAGTTTGGGACTCTCCAGCAGTATGACACACCGGGATTCGAACCCAGGACCTTCTGGTTACAAGGCGAGCTCGTATACCATTAAGCCACTGTGACCCGATCCAATGGCCAGTTCATGAATTCTAACTTCTGCCAATTCACGACATAGCGTGACCCCTAACCAATGTCTTCGGCGAGTATTTGTCCTTACACCCGACCTGCTGCGCCCTACTGGTCACGACTTCTCACTAGAACCCCAGGTAACTACCTACCTGAGAAGGGCAAGTCGCAAGTGAGCATCTCATTGATATCTGTTGATTTCCTAAATAAACGATCTGTTGCCTAGCCCTTGTCTTCTGTTGTTACAATAGTACTCTTGAATATTGATGATAGTCTGTTGTGAATTAATCCTGATGATCACAGTGTGTGTGTGTGACTTCGTACCAATATCTTTCTTGTCATTTGAAACATCGAATTATAGTGAAGGGTTTTTTACGGGACTTTTTTGGCCTCATTTTAACGATATTACAAGAAACACTTGAAAATAACTAATCGTATCACTGTTTTTTGTGTGTATTTATTTGTTCTTTACAAATTTTAGATCGTGATATGGGTGAATTAGTACGCATTGATTCCGATCATTTATATATAAGTAAACCAATGTATCCTAATGATTTATCTTACACATGTATTGTTCGTTTTATTGAGAATTTACCATTGTTAAATCATCAATCAGCTAGCTAGCTAGCCAGCCAGTCAGTCAGTAAATAGAGAAACTAATGCTCAGAACTCACTGTAACTTGCCTAACAACACTATCATCGACCAACCCACCCATTCACGCCACGCCACACCACCTCACTTTAACAAATTGAGTGTAGATTTCATCAGTATTTGCTAATGTATATTTTTCTTCATTTTCTTTACACCCTGCCCCGGGGGGGGGGGAATACATTTTTTAGTTTTTATTGTTGATTCACTCTGCCTTTCACAAATCCCAAGCCTTATGTCAATCTTTTTAATAACTTTTATGTATGTATGTATTCATGTGCGCGTGTATGCATGTGTACAGATCTTTATTTATATATATATGCATTAATTTCTTTTCATTTTCTTTCATTGAAAGCATTAATTTGATACACATTTATGTTTTTTCTGGAAATATTTTGATTTTATTGAGAAGTGAGCTATGAATTAAAGCGAAAGAAATCATTTCTTTGTGTGAAAGTATAATAGTAGTTTTGTTAACCTTTGATTATATTAGATAGTTGGAGGCAATCGGCCACAGGAAGCCTTCCAACTAGGTTTCGTGCTAGTTGGCACTCACCGGGCAGTCAGCAAGGCGTATCTGCAACGGGCTTGAAGGAACTCATGTCCTTTCTGTGATTCGAACCCGCGTCTGTGTGACTTTATCAAAATAAAATTTTATCCATAATGGAGTTATACTCTACCATAGTGCCCGAGTTTTATCCGTATATGACTGATAGAATTCAGTCTGCAGTCACCAAAGAAAGGACTAGACACTACTTCACACTAGTTACTGACTAGTGTCCAATCAAACTAACCTTTGATTTGTAAATTCTAGATGTTTCAGCGCTTCGTAGAGAAGGCTATTTAAACAACCTCCTAAAATCGAGGTGCATTAGAGGTATATGCATTTCGTCTTAGTTTGTGAAGCGTTTATAAGACTGGATGCAAGGATGACAAATGGAGTCGCTTATGACTTTCGATGGCACTAGTATCATATTACAAATCTGTAGATATGGAGAACTATATACCATTGATTTATGACATATTGCCTGGATGGTAAGGTGGTCGACTCGATATAGCTAACGACCATAGGCTTCATCCCATATGGATGGTGAAAGGTCGATAAAGAAATAAGAAAGCTCTTCAGTATTTCTTTGTCTGAAGAAGTTCTCTAGTTACTGTTTGTGTATGTGTGTGTGTCCCAGTCCCAACAATCAAACATTACTGAGTCATTATGTTATATGGTGTTTAATAACAGCTAGATAAGTAATCCATAGCTAGTCTTTTCTTCGAAGCGCGCATAATATTTATTTTCGTGACTGGATGGATCAACTCAGAATTTGGCACAGAAGTATCGAGGTTCAAGGTGCTGCAAACTAAAGAAGAATGATATCACAATAAACGAACATCAGCGTGATGCAGACAGTAATTGAATAGACGCTCAGGATTCGAAAGATGATGAAGAGTGTTTACATCTGTGTTATTTTAAAAGTTTTTGAACCATTTCTGACAAAAATTCATTCCTAGCATCCTGAGGACACCAGTCAGGTAGTCTATCTACACTCCCCTGCGTGACTCAAGTCATCAGTCAGTGATTTCATCGATTGATGTCTTCTTTTGTCTTGACTACTCATAATCCACCTTTGTAGATTGCGTCATAGATACAGTGGAATGAAAATGAATTTCAGTCTATAAGAACTTAAGTTTTGCGTTGGTGATATTCCCTTCCCAATGTAATCACTTATAGTAGACATGAAGAATTGCTGTAGCCTTTTAAGAGCTTCTATGTGCATTCAGCTATTTGGCTTTGTTTGTTAACAGATAGCAGTCGAAAGCATCTGGGTACTTAATTTCGTTTAATTTAACCTTTTTCAAAAATTAATCCCAAATGGCATCATGGTGTTGTATGACTAGTTAAATTAAAATTAGTTCATAATAAAAAATGATCCCGACCAGCTAGATCTTAAAGAGATCGTTACTTCTCGGCCCGCAATACATGTTTATAGTCTTCTGTCATCATTGAGGATTTCAAAACAAAATAAGTGAACACTACGAATAAATATGCACACTGTTGAGTTATTGTATGAAAGTAAAGTTTAGCTGTCTTTGATCATAGGTACCTGCCGTGTGAAGTGGTGTAATAAGGTGAGCAGTATTGAGGTTAGGCCTCGGTCGAATGCTAGGTAAGGAGGGGGAAATCAATAGACGAGGTTGTGAAGTTACACCGATTGAGAGAGATGGTTAGGATATGTGTTACGCATGTCTAGCCATCGCCTTTCTCGACAATGGGTAATGTTAGCTGACATAGGATGGATCATCAGTCAATGAAATCCACAACAGTTAGCTTAAGCCAGTCACGTATTATTTATTTTATTTAAACGCAAAAATCGTGGTACGATATGGCACCAAGAAGATGCGCCACACAGTAATACTGAAACATCATAGATTAAAAGTAAAAATAAGAGTAGAGAACGGATAAAGAACTTCATCTGGAAGGAAAACAGTCATACTTAACAAGTTCAAATATCGTTCGTCAACTGTCATAGGGAAAGGAAGAAAGAAGGAAATTGCAACACGTTTGCCATCAGTTACGGTTTTTGGCTATATCTGATAACGTTTCGAGCTATATCTCGGACACCAACCAGGGAGTCGTGACACACCAACCGATGATAACTTAGCACAAATATCCTTCTTCCCACGACTCCACGTCATGGGCTGACCACCTCTCCACCTTTTCCATCCCGTCCCAGGGCTGGCGAACAGAGACCTGTACGGAAGCCTCTGGGATTACATTCGCAGCACATGTCCAAGCCACCGGAGCCGGTGTTTCCAGATGACGACACTCAATGACTGGTGATCTCCACTGTGTTCAAACACACGCCGCCGAACCTCGGAATTACTCGCGCGATGATGCCATAGAACGCAACCAATCCTGAGGAGACTGATGATCGAACATGCAGAGCCGCCGCACATCCTAAGCTCGGAGAGGCCAGGTTTCACAGAGGTAGACCAAGACAGCCAGCACCGAAGCATTGTATACCCGACCTTTGACAGCCAGGCTAACGCCACGACGGCGCCAGGGGTGGCTCAAGTTAACTAACGTACTCCACCCTAGCATTGATGATACGGCTGGAAATCTCACCCGTCACACCTCCACCATCACTCACACAACTACCTAGATACACAAACTTATCAACAACTTCAAGCGGTTCGCCTGCAGTAGTGAGTGCACGTACAGGCTCCTGCCAATCTTGTAACAGTACTTTGCACTTAGATGGCGCAAAGCACATACCATACTTACAGACACGGATCGTCAACCGACTAAGTGCGATTTGGGCAGCCTGCATGCTATCGCACAGTAAGACGATATCGTCTAGGGAGCAGACGTACACCACCTTCATGCACATCCTTCAGATCTAACTCCGGAATGTCATTGATGGCAAAGTTAAAGAGAGATGGAGAGATTGGGCAACCCTCTGTAACCCCACTGTTGGTTGGTAACAATGCTGACAGTTGGTTGTATGCCCTCACTCTACCTGAAGTGTTTCTATTTAGGGTTTTCAAGATGTTAACAAATTTCTCAGGTGCATCCCTCTCTAACAACAGTTCCAGAGAACACTTGCGTTCAATGAATCGAAGGTAGCCCTAATATCAAGAAACACAGCGATTGTTGGCCTGCAATACGTGTGGCCGTGTTCCAACAACTGATGAAGGGTGAACACATGATAAATGCATCCAGGACCTGAACGAAACCCAGCCTGCTCTTTGCAAATTAATCCCTCACATATTTTGCACAGCCTGCATGATCAGAGTCCAGTCATGCGGTCCAGAAGGAGTGGCAGTCTTGTATGCATCCTCGCCGCCAGAAACTGACAGCAATATGACCAATCTGAGTCCAAGCTTGATTCGCCGAGGGAGGTTGCCAGGTAGCGCTACGGCGATGGCTGTGCGGGACGTTGGCACTGGCTAGAAATAAGTTGTGATCTGCGCAAAGCTGTAGAAGACGTTCCCCATTATCTGACATGCGACCATGTAAACCTCACTGACCACCTAGAAGATTCTCCCCTGAGCTTAGAGGCCGAAGCTGTGCATTCAGGTCCCCAGCCAGTACTACGATATCCCTGCGACGCCCCTGTTTCAAGAGATCGCTCAGTTGGTAGTAGAACTCACCCTTAATTACATCTGGGCTACAAACTTCCGGTGCATAGACAGAAAAAACAATTTGGCACCGCCTATCTAGCTTACCACTCCTCACTTTCGTAAAACCTCACAGCACGTTAGCGACTGTTAGTGCAGACTCAGTCAAGTAATACAGCTTCGGCTCTAGCGCTTAGTGCGACACCAACAGCAGACGTCTATAGCGAGGTATTCCAATGTTTTTACCAAACCTGCCTGCTGTCCGATTTGCATCAGTGTCCGAACATTGTGGGTGGCCAGCTTTAATGCAACACGCGGTTTCAGGATATCTGTGTTAGGTGTTGCACTGGGGACAACCATTTTGAAGGCGACTCACCAACATCTTGAAACAGCACAGATGGGTTGGGAATTCCGACGAAGGCGAAAGGCTGACGAAAGTGAAGATGTCGAGGTTAGCAAAAGTGAGAGAGAATAAAGGACGCACTGGATTCAGAACTCCGACCAGAACAAGCTGGATTCAGGAAAGGCAAATCATGTTCTGACCTAATCGCAATTCTACGCATCATCATCGAACAAAGCATGGAATGGCAATCAAACCACTACCTCAACTTTGTAGACTTTGAGAAGGCCTTCGACAGCGTTGACCGCGAAGTAATTTGGAAACTACTCGAGTACTACGGCGTACCCCAAATATTCATCAACCTTATTCAACAGCTGTACGACAACGACACATGTCAAGTGATCCACAACGGAAAACTCAGCGAAGTGTTTAGAGTAAACACAGGAGTCAGACAAGGGTGCTTAATATCACTAATGATATTCCTAATTGTAGTCGACTGGATTATGCGTCAGACAGTGGGAGACGAGAAGACAGGGATATCCTGGACCGACATGAAGAACCTAGAAGACCTGGATTTCGTGCGTGGATGATTTATGTTTGATGTTACACAAAATCGAAGACTTACAAGCGAAAACCGATAAACTGGTCGAAGAAGCAGCAAAGACAGGACTCCAGGTGAAATAGGCATGACGGAGGTTATGAAAATAACCAACCAACAACAACAGCAACATCCAGCGCCAATCACCATCAACGGGAGGGATTTGAAAGAGGTTACTTCATTCACTTATCTAGGGAGCATTGTCTCAACTACAGGAGGGACGGACGAGGATGTCAAATCGAGAATTGGGAAGGCGAGAAACACATTCATCAACCTGAAATCAATCTGGAAATCTTCGTCACTCAGCATCAACAACAAAATTCGGATTTTCAATACAAACGTCAAGTCAGTTTTGCTATACGGATCAGAAACTTGGCGGGTCACCAAGAGTATTTTCAACAGGTTGCAAACCTTTATCAACAACAACTGTCTTCGTTCTATACTGAAGATCAGATGGCCGGAAAGAATCACAAACAAGAAACTATGGGAACAAACAA